CTGTCATCACAGTATTTGGTGGTTACAATACTTACATCACAGTCATCACAGTATTCAGCGGTTACAATACTTACATCAGTCACCACAGTAACCAGTGGTTACAACACTTACATGCCAGTCAACACAGTATTCAATGGTTACAATACTTACATCCCAGTCATCACAGTATTCAATGGTTACAATACTTACATCCCAGTCATCACAGTATTCAGTGGTTACAATACTTACATCGCAGTCATCATAGTATTCAGTGGTTACAATACTTACATCACAGTCACCACAGTATTCAGTGGTTACAATACTTACATCCCAGTCATCACAGTATTCAGCGGTTACAATACTTACATCACGGTCATCACAGTATTCAGTGATTACAATACTTACATCCCAGTCATCACAGTATTCAGTGGTTACAATACTTACATCCCAGTCACCACAGTATTCAACGCAGACTTCACAATACCATGTATTATCACCACATCTTTTAATAATAGGATTATCTTCAGTGATCTGTTAAGTTATATATTGAAACAAAAGAGATCAAAAGTCAAACTGCAGAGCTGGAAGAACTGATACAATTGTAGCAGTCTGTTTTGTCTGTCACCAAGTGATGGCAGACAATTGCTCATTATACTGAATCGTATCAGCAAAACAAAATATTGATGCAAAAAGAAATCGGTATTTTGTTTATTTCATTGTGTACAGCACACAGGGCAGTCACTGTGATACACATACTGTGGAACACTTTATTTTCGCTGGAATTAATTTTCGCTGAAAAGGCTTTTTGGGCGTTTTGCTTGGAATTTATTTTCACTGATTTTTGATGAGTTTAATGTGAAATGTAGGAAAAAAAGTATATTCGCTGGATTTTATTTTCACGAAATCATCTCTTCAGCGAAAATAGCGAAAATAAATTCCAAGCGAAAATAAATTCCAAGCGAAAATAAAGTATTCTACAGTATGGCATTGGAGAGTGGTTGCAAGGCTGTTTATTGAAGTGAAAAAGTTTGGACTTTTAAAGATCATAGTTTCGCACAACCGATAAGATGCCATAAGTGCTGAATTTGGGGGGGGGGGGTAGGGATGGACAAAGGAAGGTGACAGATTTGTTTTTACAATTTATACATATGCCAAATTTTAATACTTGAAGTGATCCAGTAGTGTGGATATATTTTTTGCTAAATAGTGCTGTGATGTTTTCAGTCATTGCTAGCAATGTAATGTAATGGGCTGAGCATATTTGGTTCAATCACAAAAAAATGTATATGCAATCTTTGTATTGTGTTTGAAGCCATCTCAGAAAAACAGTTGTTAAAACGGTGTGTACTTATAACCCAGTATGTATGATTTGATACAAAGCCTTTTTCCTTCAAGAGAAATGATTCTGGACACATTTACATAGACTGCGATTTTAGGATTTCCGACAAAATTCATCAAATTTGATATTGACTGGTATTCTTTTGTCAGTACTTGAACAAAAAATGTCAATGTAGTTAACATACTCAAGAAAAGTTTTTTTCTGATCATGTTAACATCAACACTTAATGAACTCTAAACTGCAGGTATCTTGCATTAGAAGGCAATTAACAGCCAAATTTCTCAAAAAGATTGAATTGCTTAAGTCTGATGATGACAACAATCAGAGAGTGACATGTTACAGTTAGCCATAAAAGCATGGGTTAGATTATGGCAGTCTGGCTGGAATTAATACTGACTGTGCAGCAGTGATGAGTGATCTGGTGTGGAGATACGCCTACAAGTTTCAGCAAAGAAAGCAATCAATACCCAATGTTGCATCCACCAGACAACAAATTGCATCATTACAATTAGTGAGCACAGTTCCCTGCGTCACACATTTTTTTAAAAGATCAATGCATCACTTTCATGACCTCTTGTAAATAAATGTTTTTAGTGTGGGTGATTCAGTAAAATAAATACATGTAAATAAAAAGTTGTCAAATTTTTTTCTGACAACATCCAGTCAACTGTATTTTAAAAATCATGTACCAAATGTAACACTTGTATATTTTTTGCTTTGTTTGTAAATAAAATTTAAATGAAATGAAATATTTTACTTTTACATTTTTTTTTTTCAAATGCAGTACCTAAGTAATCAGGCAAAACAAATTTTAGTCTCTAAAACCTTAAGATTATTAATGAACTCATGAATATTAATAATTGTGTGAATTCTAATGAGCAACCATCACTTGCAAGAGCTAGGCAGATCCCTGAAAGCTAATGATAAAAATCTTACGTTTCCAGTTCTTGAAGTAGAGGTTCCGTTGTCAACACCTAAATTACTCTTCACATGTGATGCACTCTGCAAGTGAATTTAATGCTAATATTAATTGAATGTCTCAAGTAAAATGCCGCTTCCGGAATTCGGACACAAATGATATTAGTGTAGTCAAGCAACAAAAACTTATTGAAAATTCTAGTTTTGAATTAGCACCAGTTAACAATGATGGCTGATATCACGAGATGTCACTTGTTCTTAGAGCTGGTTGATTCAAGAGACATAGATATATGCATCATGCAATGCTTGAAAGTAAGAGTTTAAAAGGTCAACCAGTTTCAAAGCCCACATTGATAAAATTGTTGTAGCATAGAGGAATAATCTCAGACTGCTATAGACAGACTAGAAATGTGGCATTTCCTTTAGTCAGATGCATGCCACGTTTGTTTTTGGACTTAACCTTTTAATCTAATAAACAACCGATCAAAGTAACAGGACTATAAGGTAATAATACAATGTCCATTATTATTTAATCAAATAACGCAAGATGGTGCGAGATGTACACAGGTAGTGGTATTAGTTGGTTTGTAGTTCATTTTCTTGGTTAAATAATCTCCACAAATGCGACAAATATATGTTATTTCTAAGTTTTTCCCCTTAAATGTATTTATGTAATTATGAACCAAACAATAAAAGAGATAGCTAAAATTTATGCTTCATTAACATATCTGCTCCCTACGAAATATTCAATGACTTCAATCGCTTAGTTGCTGAGCATATAAATTTTCAAACAGATTGTCCACACAAACTACGAAACGTCCACACAAATTGGCCGATTTGAACAGAAACAACAAGTGCATTCAGTGCGATTGGCACTAGAATGACAATACGAAAAACATGAAGCAGGCAAATGCGAGTGCATTCGAGAATCTTTGCATTAATGTGTGCCGATAAACTACCATCAAGGTCTGCCAAGGCCTTGTTTGGCATCAAAGTAGTGCCTCTGTGAATTTCAATTCCAGATCATGGTCATGTGATAAGGGCTAATACATAGGAATGTGAGTCTAAGAGTATGCCAAGGTGAAAGCCTTGAAAAGCACCATGCAGTGTGGAAACAATGGAAAAACAAGGAAATCTACACCAGATACCACAGCAGAATAAATTGCACTGATAGAGTTCAGCAGCACATAATATAACTAACTTCTAGGCAGGCAAGGCAGTGCATACCCTGAATAGTGCTGGCAGCATGGACATGAAATACAGCATACAAAATACATACGAAATACATTTATACAAATGTATACAGTAAACTAATTTGGTGTAACTTACTGGACGTGATCTTTTTCTCAACTGATGTACATCAAGCTCTACATGTTCTTTTAACAACTAAAAAAATAAATTTTTTTGGTGAGATTTCAAATATAGAAATATAGAATTGTGAATGATTAATGTCTAAAAACCGAATATCATTGCATCACAAGATGAGTACATTTGTTTTGATGAGGTGTAAACATTGCACTTACTTGTATATTGCTGAAATCCAGTTTGCAAATTTTACAAAACCATTTGCTTGTGCCAGGTCTTATTATTATAATATTGTCATCACCCAAGTCCTATGATTAGAATTACAGTGATTATTATACACCATTAGGGCTTAAATTGGGAGTTCAGAAGGCTACAAGTTGACAAAATGGGTTAAGCATATAACAAATAATACAGCAAGTTGCTCTATAAGTAGTACTAACATCAATATCAGAAGAATATCAATGGTCAAAATAAGTGATCATGTATAAATGACAGCATATTGAAGTGTACCATAGTAAACTCATTCAGCATTAAGGCTAATTCCCTTGATGCCTGTGGAAAGTTCAATTCCTATACCATCTTTTATCAACAAACTAACTGTGTAATATATCCAATACAGCAATAAGAATTTTACAAATATTTAGTAAACAAAAGTACAATTCATGTTTAATATAAACAAGCAGCTTCTCAGCTGAGATAGCTCCGCTGTTAGCAATGCACATTTCAATTAAAGAATTGAAGATATCATCACGAAATGAATAAATCTGGGAGAGGTCTACTGGTAGTTACTATATGTATAATGTAAAATCAATCAAACTTGCGTTTTTTAACAATAAGTCAAAAATATTACTTTTTACCAAAATGATAAAAATATTAATCTAAATTAGAGAATTTAAGATATCATCTTGAAATGAACAAATCAAAGTGAGGTCTACCCAAGGTACATATACACCTAGTATCAAAGCAATCAGGCTTGTAGTTTTCAAGAAGTAGAAAAACTAAAAAGTTGACACTGATGACAGACAATTGACAATCATTCATATGATAAGCTCTACTCGACAAAGTCAATAGCAGAGCAAAAAAAAAAGTCAGAGTACTGATTTGTTGCTGGAAATCCAGCATGTGCAGCAAAAATGCTACAGGAAATCAGTTATTCAAAAAAAACAAAAGAAATAAAGCGCCATCACAGATCAATCACAGATAAACTGTAATCACGTGGGAGATGAGACTCGCTTCCACAGAAATATTGTAAACATACTGATCAAAAAAGTGGTATTAATGATTTCTCACCGAAAATACCAATTGTGGAAAAAGTGGCATGTTTCTGTCAACTAACTGTATTCAGAAATTGCTATCAAGACACTTGAAGACGAATGCCACTCATAAAAAGTCACAAAAATACCATTGTCAGAAGTATTTGCATGACATATCTCTTGTTGTGATTTAAAACCACAAATTACCAGCTAATATATCTTTGAACCATTGAGTTAAATACCATGGTTTTGTAAATCAGTAGACATAGTAATAAGAGAAAATAAAACAATATTTGTGATAAAAAAAAGTCCCATGGTTCTCATGCTCTGAGTGGCCATTGACATCTGCTACTGTTCAGTCACTGAAGACATAGGGTATAGTTTACTGTTGTAGTCTACAAAAATACTTCAACCTCAGAGACCCTGATGAAATACATGTATGATGTAATATCACATAATAAAAAAAAATTACATTTGATGATACACTAGGTGTAAAAAAAGGTGAAAATAAATGTGTATTATTAATATACATATATAATATTTCAAAAGTGAAAAAAAGAAAAGAAATTAAAGTAAAATAAGAAAAAAAATGTGTCTCACCGAATACCGTCTTTTTTTTCTTTGTGAATCAACAGTTTCCCATGGGGAAATAGACTTGTGACTTGTTGGTATCTGAGGTGGATAGCCCATGAAATGGTTACTGCCAGAAGAATATATGTCATTTCCATATTGCTGCATACTGCTCAAATAGTCATCTTGCTGCTGGGAAAGCAATGAACTTTCAGCACCACCCACTGAAAATGTTTGATCAAAGCCTTGGCTACCTCCAGAAAAATGCATGACATTTCTATGAACATTAGATCCTCTGTCAAAGCCTTGGCTACCTCCAGAAGATTGCATGACATCTCCATGAACATTAGATCCTCTGTCAAAGCCTTGGCCACCTCCAGAAGAATGCATGACATCTCTATGAACATTATATCCTCTGTTGAAGCTTTGGCTACCTCCAGAAGAATGCATGACATCTCCATGAACAATAGATCCTCTGTCAAAGCCTTGGCTACCTCCAGAAGAATGCATGACATCTCTATGAACATTAGATCCTCTGTTAAAGCCTTGGCTACCTCCAGAAGAATGCATAACATCTTCATGAACATTATATCCTCTGTCGAAACCTTGGCTACCTCCAGAAGAATGCATAACATCTTCATGAACAATAGATCCTCCGTCAAAGCCTTGGCTACCTCCAGAAGAATGCATGACATCTCTATGAACATTAGATCCTTTGTTAAAGCCTTGGCTACCTCCAGAAGATTGCATGACATCTCCATGAACATTATATTCTCTGTCGAAACCTTGGCTACCTCCAGAAGAATGCATGACATCTCCATGAACATTATATCCTCTGTCGAAACCTTGGCTACCTCCAGAAGAATGCATAACATCTTCATGAACATTAGATCCTCTGTAAAAGCCTTGGCTACCTCCAGAAGAATGCATGACATCTCCATGAACATTATATCCTCTGTCAAAGCCTTGGCTACCTCCAGAAGAATGTACAACTTCTCTATGATTATTAGATTCTCTTTCAAAACCTTGGCTACCTCTAGAAGGATGCATGACATTTCCATGAATATAAGAACCACTGGCAAAGCCTTGGTTAACTCTAGAAGAAAGCATGACATCTCCATGAACATTAGATACTCTGTCAAAGTCTTGGCTACTTTGAGATGAATATATTGTCCCTCCACCAACATTAGTAGTTCTGTCATAGCATTGACTATTTCCAGATGAATACAAAGCATCTCCACTAAGATTAAATGCTCTGTTAGAAGACTGGTTATATCCACAGGACAACATGTCATCACTGCTGACGTTAGCACCTCTTTCATAATCCTGGTTGCCTCTAAAAGAATACATGCCATCTATGCCAACGTTAGCTGCTCTATCAAAGGTTTGGTTGCCTCCAGGAGGATACACTGCATCTCGGCTAACATTAGCTGCACTGTCAACAGCTTGGCTACTTTCAGATGAATACATGTCATCTCTGCCAACAATAGCTGTTCCGTCAAACATTTTGTTGCCCCCAGAATAATACATACCATCTCTGTCAACATTAGCTTCTCTGTCAAAAGTTAGGTTACTTCCAGTGGGATACATGCCATCTATGCCAACAATAGCTCCCCTGTCAGAGGTTTTGTTATTTCCAGGTGGATACATGCCTTCCATGCTAACAAGGGTTTGGTGGCCTGTAGAAGAATACACATAATCTTTGCCAACATTAGCTACTCCATCATAGTCGTGGCTTCTTCCAGAAGAATGCTGTGTACTGTTGAATTGATGCATAGACACCTGCGAACTTGGATCCCCACATACAGACAACATACTGCCATCAACTGTTCCCAACTGAGACTTAGGTCTGGCATTCATACTTCCAGCTCTTATCGTCTGTTCAATATAATTCATCAATACTTGCTGAATATCCTTGCCACTTTGTACCTTGTCTTTTTCAATATGGCATGGTGCTTCTGTTGCAGATACACTCTGTTGTGATTGTGGGAATGGTTCTTTGTGAGCAGAATGAGTGAATGAAGGGTCAAATGACTGTTGTTGGTATTGTAACTCTCTAGATGATTGAGTATACTCAACTTCCCTAGATTTTCCTGTTCCATATGCTTTTGCCAGTGTCAACTCATAGACTTTTTGGACCTGGTCCTTAGACGGCTTAGAATGACTTTCAACATTATCCACAAACATTTTTAACAACTGCTTGCCAAACTCAGCTGCTACATGAACTTCATTTGTAGCAGCACTATCAGAAACTTTATTTGATAGAGAAGGATGCAACGAATCTGGAAGTTGATGATCTGTAAAAACCAAAGAAATTAATAACAAAAGTAAGCAAGAAAATTGTTTATTTTACAAAAAATTGACAAGCTAATATAACCTACTAATGCCTGTTAATGATAATACTGTGTTCAAAGACTCAGTATGTTATCGCCACACTACCAACAGGCAATTGCAACCTGCTTATGGCTGTTAATGTTAAAACTGTGGTCACTGACTCAGTAAGCTATTACTACCAGTGGGCACATATAACCTGCTTATAATGACTCATTGGCATCTACTTTTGTTTACAATGACTTATTGGCTATCCTTTGGTCTACAATGACTCATCAGGCAGCTATTCTGGTCTATAATGACACATCAGTCACCTACTCAGATCTGTAATGACTTATTGGTTATCTACTATTATCTATAGTGACTCAGGGCTATAAGGGCTCATTAGCCATCTACTCAGGGCTATAAGGACTCATTAGCCATCTACTCAGGGCTATAAGGGCTCATTAACCATCTACTCAGGGCTATAAGGGCTCATTAGCCATCTACTCAGGGCTATAAGGGCTCATCAGCCATCTACTCAGGGCTATAAGGGCTCATTAGCCATCTACTTAGGGCTACAAGGGCTCATTAGCCATCTACTCAGGGCTATAAGGGCTCATTAGCCATCTACTCAGGGCTATAAGGGCTCATTAGCCATCTACTCGGGGCTATAAGGGCTCATTAGCCATCTACTCAGGGCTATAAGGGCTCATTAGCCATCTACTCAGGGCTATAAGGGCTCATTAGTCATCTACTCAGGGCTATAAGGGCTCATTACCCATCTACTCAGGGCTATAAGGGCTCATTAGCCATCTACTCAGGGCTATAAGAGCTCATTAGCCATCTACTCAGGGCTATAAGGGCTCATTAGCCATCTACTCAGAGCTATAAGGGCTCATTAGCCATCTACTCAGGGCTATAAGGGCTCATTAGCCATCTACTCAGGGCTATAAGGGCTCATTAGCCATCTACTCAGGGCTATAA